TACTTCCATGAATTTTTTTAAAGACAATAGAGTAGTTTCTCATTAACTTCTCTGTGTTTTTGAATACAAAGTAGTCTTCTCAGACAAATGGCCACTCAAGGCTAGAGAGCCCAACCTACTCTGCTTTTATTTTTTAGTTTAGTGTGAAAAGTGGGTTCATGCCTTTCACAAGGTTATTAATTTAAAGTGAACACAACAGAATCAACCAGAATTTAAACTCAGTTTGCTAATCGCACTTTCTGCACCAATAGCCATTATGTTATCTGCACATTATGAGCATACATCATGGATATTAAGGTGATTATAATAAGATAAGAAGGAAAAAAAATACTAAAAAATTATACCTAACCAGCTTCCATATAACAACTTTACAAAAATTCAAAATGATATATTAAGAATTGCTATTGGCAAAAAAGAAATAACTTAAGAAAGCTGCAGATCAGTAAACAAAACAATATTTTAATTCATTGGTTCTCAAAGAGTGTGTTTTTCAAACCCTTGAAGCTCCTTAAGACTTCTTTAAGGAGTTCACAAGGTCAAAATGATATAATAATATTTCTTAAATGAAAAGTTTTTTCAAATATATAGCTGACTGAATTCTTAAATAAGTTAATAATTAAATATTTGAAACTTCATAGTTTTATTTTCCAATACAATAAATATTGACAGATATAGCCCACATATACAAAAGTGCTTTGGCAGTTGTCAATTATGTTTAGTATGTTTTAGAGAGCCTAAAATTGCAAAAAAATGTTTATCTGGCTGCAGCTTTTATTCATTTTATCTCATGTGTATGTATAGCTATCTATGCATCCTTGGTGTATCATCAGTAATTAAGTATATTTGACTAATAAATTAGTTCATGGAATATAACTACTTCAATTAATGACAATTAAAAAAATTATTTAAAAAAGAAATGATGAACAATGCAATATATATATATATATATATATATATATATATATATATATATATATATTGTAATATTTTACATCACTACACAAAAAATTCTGTGTTTCAGAACTGTAAAAACTGTCCCTCATCATGTGATGTTAGATAACATATAATGAAAATGATTTACTTGGGAAATCAGAAAACAAATCAGTAGCTTATTTGGGGTTTAAAAGGAAGGGGAGGGGGGGGTAAACCAAACATGCAAAATTAAAAAAAAAACACATTTGTGGGCAAGTCTTGATAAACCAATCAAAAGACGGATCAACGCTAAAATAGAAAAATCGAAAATAAGGTCAGAAGGTGTGGATACGTGGGTTATTTCCTCAAGTCTTGATGAAATGACACTTTAAGCATGTCATACAGTTGCAAAACTAACACTAAGATACAATGAAATAGAGTGCATTTTCATCATATCTTATCTAGAATTGCATAACAAGGGACAATTTTTACAGTTCTGAAACATGTAAACTTTTGTGTAGTGATGTAATATATATATATATATATATATATATATATATATATATATGTATGTATTGTTAATTTAGGTTCAGTTTCTTTCAAAATTAGAACATTTGATGAAAAATAAATATAAACTATCCTGGAATTATTAATATAATTGCATTTTTATATGAAAATCAAAAGAAATGAGATAAAAATTTGACAGGATTTAATTTCCAATAAAAAACATAAAGAATACCAATCTAAGGGATTCATCAATTGAATAAATGTCTTGTTAAGATCCTGTAAGAAAAAGTAATTGCAAAGCTGAAGGATAATCACAAATGAGAGGAAAGTGACAAGCAGAAATAATATGAATCAGATACAGATAAGAAAAACAGACAAGAGTATGAAAAAGAATAGTATCCTAACAGATATAATAAAACTTAAAAAAGAAAAGAAAAACAAAAAAATTTTTGTTGGTATCAAATGATTTTACCTAGAATTCTCAAGATCACATGTTCAAGTGTGTTTGGAAACTGAGATGGAATATTCAATGATTTTTAGAGGCATGCATTTTTTTTGTTTTATAATAATAGTTTCTGATCAACAAAGATACTGGTTCATTCTGTTATCTTGTTATGATTTTAATTCTTCAGTTAAGCACTGTGGATGTTACCTGGCATGTTGAAAGAGTAGTGAAGTATTATAAGAACAACAGAAAGTGCTTAAATTGAGTAGGAAAGACACAAGAAGTGGTAAAAGTAAATGGTAAATAACATCTTTTCCTATGAAATTACATTGAAGACTGCATGAAAGATACTAGGTGTATTATATACTCAAGGGAGCAATGATAGAAAAGCTAAGAAGTTTTTTGCCCAAATGAGGTAAAATAAGATGTTAATTATTAGTTTCTATTAAAATTAGTAAACTGAATTGGAATCATTTCCTTTTATTTTATTAGCTAATAAGAAAACTTAATAAATAAGAGTAATATATTTTAGCACCTATAAAATTAAAAACTCTGTCACTAAAAATTGGAAATCGAAGAAATTGTAAATCTCCCCATCTGAATTATTTAGAAAATATGTTTATCTCTTTATCTTTGTAAATATTTGTTTTCTCTCTCTCACACATATACACACATTCAAACTCAGATTACCAATAAGTAATATAAGTGTATGATCAGGATGTAAAGAAAAGTCAATGTAGAAGTTTTTTCTCTATGCTATCATATTAGTTGATATTTTTGTAACTGTTCACATCTTTTATCCTCAATTTTATTTGTAAATGACTTCCTGAATTTTAAGGTCTTCAAAACATCACATTTATATTCATCACCCTTTATCTTCAGATATCAGCTGATTTGAATATATATATATATATATATATATATATATATATATATAAAACAACTAAAAAGTTGATATCATGTGACGTCCACATCTCGCGACGGACGCTACCTGTAAACAAACCACTAAAAACAGTTATTTCTGAAGAAAGATCGAGGTCGATCTGAAATATCAAATATAAATAAATACTTTCATAAGAAAACATTATTTTTTTTTTAATTTGCAACTTTTTAGTTGTTTTTTCTATATATACATATTAAGAAAGTATACGTGGCTTCTCATTATGCTATATATATATATATATATATATATATATATATATATATATATATATATAATTATTTATTCAAAAATTATAACATAAACATATTATAACATCACTACAAAAATAGCTATTTTGTTTCAACATTTCTGGTGTCTTATCAAGTGATGGTGTTGAATGTAGAATAAAGAATTTTAAAAAGTTCAAATCAACCAAATGCCCCTTGATAGGGGAAACGCTGTTACATAAGCTACAATGACTAATCAAAATACAAGTATATGAAAATTCAAAAAACTTGACAATGAACCTTGGTTATAATTATTAATGCCTTAGTGCTAGTGTTAGACTAAAACAGAAATCATTCTGATTAATTTTAAATTTCACAATAAAATTGAGAATAAAAATTACCAATTTTAAATTTAACCTGTCTTAAGTTTAAAATATAAAATTATTTAAAGAAGGAACTAAGGAAAAAATACATATATTTTATTATTTATTTTGTTTTAATCAAAAAGCCAAAATCTCAGTTAGAGCAAATGCTAATGTAAAGAGATACAAATATTGTAACAACTTAGATACATTTGAAGTGGGCAGGGGGAGAAATATATGTATATATATAATTTCTATATATATATTTTATATATGTGCAGTACTTATTGGAAAGGGCTCAATATCAGTGATAGAGGTAATATATTTAGTTGAATGGATATGAGTTTGTAACCCTGGGTTTCACATTTATGCGACCCTCAGACAAACAAGTACAAATTCAATAAGTGTAATCAATGGAAGTGGTAGTAAATTCCTTCTTTAGTTCAGGTAAACATTTAAAGCTCAAAATACTTATAATCTGTTTGTCTCTAAATTTCCCAGAAATGTCTTTATTCAAATATGTAACCTCTATAAAAACTTTTTCACAATCATATATGATTATACTTCAAGAAATCTATCTTCTGCAAGTTTGGCTTGTTACTTGAGAAATTGGGAATTACTTGCCACCTTTCCTTCTCCAAGAATCATGTTGCAGGTATTACTGGGCTCTATAGCACCAGTTGCAGATTATATTCTCTGTTTTTATTAAGAACTGAGTGCAGTGAATTACCACTACATACATACATCACAGAACTGGCATAAATAGCTAAATTTGAATTATAAGTAAAACATTTGAGTTTTATATATATATATATATATATATATATATATGCAAACTAAATATTGACTATTGTTAAAAAATGTGATTTAATTTATCTTGAACATATTTTACATTTCTGTTCTTGTAAGTGAATTAAAATACTTTCCCAATATCCTTGTTTTTGTTGTTGGTTATTATTTTTGGTTTATTTATTATTTTCCACTTCAGATACAGTCTCCTTCAGCAAATTGTGAAATTAATGTAAGGACAATACTTGAAAATATACAAAAAGAAAGAGAACCAGAGACAAAAATAACCACTATGGTAAAAATAACTCAATGCTGTAAAGTGTCCAGTGATCATTATAACAGTGATTTTCTTATGAAAGTGACAATCATGGCAAAGATGTGAATTTTGTGTCAAGAGAATGTGACCTTTTCAGCAAGTGACCACCTTAGTAACAGTTACTAATATAATAAAATTTACGATCTAACTGGTAAATTGACTGTTTAGGTTAGTGGAAAAGTTAAAAGAGGAAAGAAGAAAAAGAAACTTAAGTGGAAAAATCCAGATTCATCATTATATATATATATATATATATATATATATATATATATATATATATATATATATATAATTATAATAAGTCAATTAAATTACATTTTATCATTGTTTTTTTTATTTTGTTTTTAAATTTATATTTATTTTATAAGAATAGATATTGTTCTTACATTATTTCCTTTAAAAATTGTAACAGAAAAATATCTATAATATGAATTTTTGTATTTTCCTTTTTGACCAACTATACTGTGTTATATGTGTGTGTCAGAATTATCTTTAGAAGAACTGAGCAGATGATAACTACCTGTATTTGCAAGAATTGCTGATGCTGGAGAAACAGTAGAGAGACTCTCTGGCTCTCTTAGGTTTTCGGCCTCTAAACATATTGGAGCAGACTTTGTAACCGGACTAGTTGTATGGCTATTGTTGGTGGTGGCCGTCAAATGGCAAGAGTTGGCGGAATCATTGTTATTATTACTGGGGTATCGCTTAGTTCGTTTTTTCTTCAGAAAGTGAGCAAAACCTCTCTTCCAGGTAGAAGATTTAACAGCAGCTTTCTTCTGTTCATGGGTTGGTTCAAAATTTATAGAGTTCTTCATAGCTTTCTGAAATTGAAAAAAAGAGAGAAATCAAGAAAAAGAGAAAAGCATTTGACAGCAAAGTTTTGTGAAGAAATAGATAGAGAGATAGATATATAGAGGGAAAGAGAGAGTGAGTTTGTGAGTGAGTGAGTGAGTGAGTGAAAGAAAGAAATAGAGAGAGATAAAGAAATAGAAAGAAAAAAGAAAAACAATTTGACTTTTTAAAATTCTGTCATTCATATAAATTTCCCTCAGTATAGAGGAACAAAATATTTAAAAAGAATGTAAAAAAAATGGTAAGAATTGAGACAAGCACAGCAGTTGTAGTAGCTATAGCAGTAGCAGCAGTAATAGTTGTAAAACTAATAATAAAATAATAGTAGTTGCATAACTAATTGCATAATTTTTAGGTTAATGAATGACTTAGAACTTTGGAGATTTTTTTTTTCTTTTCATTCACATCTAGACATCCATACATATATATATATATATATATATATATATATATATATATATATATATATATATATAGTTATGCATGTATGTAGAAGACGTGCTTTTCAGTTTAAGTGTTTTATTAGTGTTTGTTTTTTCTGATTTTGTTTAGAGATAGATAGAGAGAGAGAGAGAGAGAAAAAATATATACATATTCTGAGGTAAAAATAAAGCAACGTGCACTTAAGAAAAACACCACTGAAAAATACGCAGGAGACAACAACCAAAATTGAATAACAATGACAACAAGTCAAATACTTCCTTTGCTATTTACCTGCTCTAAAAGGCCTGATGGTGCTAATGGTGGCAAGAAAAGATAAAAATCAAATTGGCAAAACACAAACAATTTCAGAAAGAAAGAAAGAAGGAAAGAAAGATAGCAATTGAATTTCAAATGATACACATTCAAGTGAAATAAAGAAAACTATATACGTGCGTGTGTATAGAAAAGTGAGTGTGTATGTGTGCACGTACTTGGATGTTGTATCTGTTTAGCAGTATTTTTATGTGTGATTTTATTAGTGACATTGAATATTAGGTATTTTGTATATATTATTATATTTAGGTTCTAAAATGGGAGCAAAAGGATTCCTTGTTAAGTATTTTTGTTGTGTTTTTTAGAAACTAGTGATATCATTATGAATTATATTAAAATCAATGCATGATAATGATATCAATGTTTGCAACTATGTATGTATCCATGTGTGTGTTTTCAGTGTGTGTCTATGTATGAAAGTACCAATACACACACACATATATATGTAAATATACATAAGGCAAAGAAATATACACAATTTATGGGACAGTCACCATATTTTTAAGCCATAAGCAATGACAAGAAATAATACAGAGACAGTTTTATAAGCAAACAGACATCATATAAATAGTACTCCTTGCATGAGGCTTTATAAAACTTTATTGATGTTTTAACTTTAAAACATTATTATATGCATAAATTAATAAAATCCCATGCAGACTCATGAATATTTCTAATGAATTTGCATTTATAAATATAAATTCTGAAATTTAATTTTCCACCAATGAGATAATATTTATTTTAACTAGATTACTTGTTTATTAAATGGATTTTCAGATATACCAAATTATTTCTTGTTTGTCTAGACTAATCTCATTGGACAATATGTGGAAACTTTAATTGCCATAAAATATATTGATTGATACATCTTTGGTTAATAGGAAAATAATGTATGTTTTTAAGGTATCAATTTTATTGTGTTTAAATTCAAATCTTGCTATATTTTGTTTACATTTGATTAGAAAGAATTTTATTAAATTATGAATATTGAGGTGCATATATATCCATATATAGATGACAATATTCGATTTGTTCACAAGTATAATTTTGGTTGTGTTTGCAAGTTTCATTTCCCAATAAAAGTACAATATTTGTTTTCATTATTATAACAAAATTTCCTTTTAACAATGTTAATCAATTAGGCATGAAAAATACTTAATATGTACTATCTAAATGTTTTATGTGTATATCAGGTGCCCTTAACCCTCTTTTAGTATCTCTTTATTAAAAATCTATTATAAGCTAAAATCAAAGGAACATTTTAAATGACACATAGATAAAAATCTAATTTTCAAACTTGCAATGTAATAAACACTATAGTTTTGTGTAAGATTTTAATATAAGTTTCTCAGTTTTTCTTTGACTCAGCTCATTATTTTTCTTTTTATTAAATGTTAATTATTTTCTTTTAGGTATATGCATACATGCATGACATACCTATAAGTTCAGTATTGGAATTTATTATACACATTTATTATACACTGATTTATAAATCTCCTGTTCTTGATTGTTATTATCATGATTCAGCTGTTATATGCTTTAACCTCCTTGTTGTTCACCTAGGAATTTCAAACTGAACCCTTTATTTCATCCATAGGGTTAGACTATCCTAATTCCTCATACCAGGATTTTTTTTGTATCAGTTAATTTAAAAAATATTACAAACTATAATAGACACCTGAAGAAGGCTGGAGAGTACAAGGGCCAAAATGTTGTGACAATAATATCCAAGATGAAGAAACTAGTCTGTGTAAATTAGTGTAAAATAAAATACCATCTGGTAGTGATAATCTGGTAATGTATACACTGATGGAAAATAAATGTGTAACATCTTGAATATGTGTTTCAGTTCACTCAATATTAAATGTACAGGTGATATAGCTGGATGATCACATATTCAAATCAATACATGCTAGGTTTCAAAATAAGGGCTCTATCACAAATACTCAGCAAGGGTTGTAGATGGGTTAACAAGTCAATCATTACACCATCATATCCCAAGGAGAGAGGTCATACTAATCAGGAAAGTTGTCAAACATATTGCAGAGTATGTTGATCTAAGTTTTATCCTGTTAGAACAACAAATCACCATCCTCCTGCAAGAATGGTAGCAGAATAGTTTGAACAATATTTTGTATAGGCATGGTGCTGACAAATATTTTCTCCACAAGCAAGAAAGATGAGCAAGAGTTATAATTTATGGTACCCCATACCATGATGTCAGACATTGGACCTATATTGCAGATAAATACACTTTAGATGTCACTCTTCCTGCCTACATTGCATATACAAATTACTATTATAAAATTAGAACTTGCTTTCCTTACTGAATACTACACATTTCATGTGATCATTGCTGTGGACATTGTGTAGTGTATCACTACTATCCTTACAATCTGTTGGCAATTGTCTGGACTACATGTTCATCTAGAATTTAATCTATGGGTATAGAAATGTTCATTTGGCAACTGCTGAGGCATAACCACCAACATGAGTAGCAATTCTTCAAAAGGATCATGTAACCTTTTGAAGACCCTCAATCTGAAATGGATCCAATTGAACAAAAGGAGCAGTTGAGCATCTCATATGATAGCAGTTTGCACTGGACACACCACACTAAATCTTATCACAGCATGAGCCACTGTCTAAAGCTCATATACATACAATGAACTGGTACGCATATTACTACATCACAAAATAGGCAAAGACTTTGAAAATTTTATCAGAATATCTATTACCCACTAGCATACACAGATCAAAATTAGCATAATCCTATAGGCTGTTACAATTTTGTCAGTCTATATATTATGTATCAAATTTAATGTGGAGTATTCAATGTATACTTCCAAATATTTCAAATTAACTACAATGGTTTGTATGACAAGGGTGACACTCAATAAAAACTCACTATAATGTTACATTAGCAATAGTTTTGAGACTAACATGTTAATAACTTCTTGAATGCAATTAAAATTATATATATATATATATATATATATATATATATATATATATATATATATATATATATATATCAAACTAATTTTGATTAAAGAGAACCTTTCCTTGCACTGCATGCTGTAGAGTATTTTGGTATTATCTACTAATATTTGTTTCATGTTCATAGTTGTATTTTGGCCCTTCATGATATGCTGGTGGATGTGTGCATGGTCAATCTACGAGAGAGTGTGGTACATATGTCCCAAATGTAAGTATTTAATGTTGTTTTTTTGATTATTAGTGTTGAAGAAGCAATCACCTAGGGGACATGAGAGTTCATAGACAACATTATTTTTACATAGGGGAGATTTATGATGGCTGATGTTGTTGGCAATAATTAAATTAGATGTTTTAAATATTTTGTAGCAGATGAAAAATCTTAGGTATTTGTTAGGATCACTGACTGATGTGTACCACAGAATTATGTTTTTAATTGTTTTTTCATGCTGTTTATAATTAGGATGCATTTGGCTATGATAAAGTTATGAATAAGTTAATGGTGTGTTTATTTTTTGCATCAGGGATAGATCTGGCATCAATTTTTTCTAAATTTTGTTAAAGCTAATTTTATTTCTTCATCGATGATGTGGTTAGGGAAATTATTGTTGATCAGGGCCAGAACCCATTGCTACACCATCAGTTTGTGTTTCCATAATGGTTATAAAATGGTACTTGTGTCATGCAGGGTAGAAATGATTAATGTGTGCATATATTATATTAGTATTATGAAAACAATAATTAATTAAAAAAATAAATAAATTGCACTCTTTTTCTGTAACCTTGTTCCCAATAGCAATTACACATAACATCACACTAGACCATTTCAAACATCCAGCTTCCCAAAGAATAGCAGGATGCAGATAAAGGAATTCTAACTACCATACAGACATATCACCACTTCTTTATAATGACTTCAAAAGTAAGATATAAACTTTGGACAGTTCATCCACAACTTCAAACATAATACTCAACACATTATCTGAAAATTGGAAAAATATAATAAAAAATTAAACCAACAGACCTTGTTGGTTCATTTTAATCAAATCTGTTTGGAGGAATACTTGCTGCCTAAATATATCTTATTCAAATGTATGTATGTATGCAATAATGGCATCCCAAATTTTCAGGAACCAGTTCTATAAAGGCAGGTAATCTTTAGGAACCTATTCTGCTTATTTTCTTTTCAATCTGAGGAACAAATCACTTTATAGTA